TGAGAACAATGATAACAATGATAATAATATAATAATAATAATAATAATAATAATAATAAACATTATGAGTGTCTCAGTTTAAGTGCGCAGTTGAAGGCCTGCAGCAGTTAGCTTAGCATCATGATCACATGAGTCGGTCTGTTCCTTTAGTAACCGCGTTAATGAAGGTGGAGATAAACATAAACAGACAGATGAAGACAGATGAAGATAAATAAAGATAAATAAAGATAAAGTCACCTGCAGATGAGCTTTCTTTAGAAACGCTCCCGCGTCTGCGACAACATGCTCTACCAGCGTCGCCATGTTGGATGATGACCAGCGACTGAACCGACCAATCAGAAGAGAGGAAGCAGGCTGGTGACGTAGTAAACAACGAAGCCTCGTTCTGGTTTTAAACTAACGGTTAATTTCTAACTTTAAAAACATTTAACGGTGATTTTATTACATTAATGTCGCTTTTAGTGGTTTAAATATTTTATTTCATGTTTGTAAGTTTGATATTTGTGCTTTATTTATATTTTATTAGATTAATTACTTTATTTGCGTTGTATTTTTAAGCTGTATTGTCATTAAAACACATTATTTTGGTTTATTGTCACGTTGAGATTTTTTTCAAAAGGTTAAATTCATTTTAAAGGATCTGTAGTCTTCGGTATTTCTACCAGAATCGCGTTTTTCATCTCTCGGTTCCGTTTTTCCCAGTGTCAGTGAACGCGGCGGCGTCATTGAACGCAGCAGCGTCACGTCCCACCACGGTCACGTGACGTTTTGTTGACGGTAGAAGAAGGAGGAAGATGGCGGCCCGCTGGAGCAGTGAGAATGTGGTGGTGGAGTTTCGGGATGCTCAGGTATTAATGCTGCTGAATAAAGAGAGGGAGAGAGAGGGGGAGAGGGAGGGAGAGAGAGAGAGAGAGGGAGAGGGAGGGAGAGGGAGAGAGATGCATTTGGGGGATGAGAGGTGGGAGGGTTACGGTTCCATTGTATTTTCGTCATTTTGTATTATCATCACTATATTATTGTTAAGTCTACATTTGCTTGAAAGCAGTGTTCTCGTGACGGGGGACGACATTCAAAGGGCCCCAAACGCAGCAGAGGGGTCCCGTCAGATCGGGTCACACAGTACAGCTCAGCATGGACACAAAATAGGACAATGTGCTACTGGTGTGATTGAGTTCACATTAGTTGTTGAAGACCTCGGCTGATAGCAGCTAAAAGGGATCTGAGATTGCATAAGCAATGAAAATAATCAGTCAATAAACAATCAATCAGACACAACGGGTATCGACCCGGAAGATGTCTTGTAATCCTGGATTGACAAGATCCAAATCACTGAACACTAAGTAAAGAGGAGTTAATCTATCCAATCTGTGGCTGTAATTTAAAGCTTAAAGGTTCAAAGTAATTATTCTCGTTTGTTGTTGTTATGAAACCCCAAATGTTCAATATCGTATGTTCAACGTTACATATAAATAAGACATAATGACATGAATAATGATATTAAAAAATACAGTCAAATATATAAATAGGCCAATTAGCAGTTGAATCACTTTATGAATTACTAAAACTGAATTCATGATTATGAAAAGTTAATTATTATGAAATACAACTCATAGATGTTTTATTTATATTTTGTTTTAAGTGTTGTCACCTGGGCCCGCCCACCTCACCTGGCAGCCAGTCAGCACCCTCACCAAGTGTTAGAGCAACAACAGTGGGGAAGTTAGTCTGAACAGACTGCTGCTGTGCGTTAAAGACACAGTGACAGTACTAACACTAACCTGTTACCTAACGTTAGACTAACTAGGCTACACAGACAGCTAACTCTGCTAGCTGTCAGTTGGCAGTGAGGAGCCAGTGTTAGCAGCAGCAGCTAGCTTAGCTGGTTCATTGAGAGTTACCTCAGCGGTGCTGTGATTCTAAAGATGTTCTCAGAGAAAGACACAACTCTGTGAAGAGAAAAACACACAGAGGATATCCCAAGTCCCTCGCTCATTCTCATTTGCTACTCCCTACTTGCCAATGATTTGTAGCCAAACACAAGGGGCTAGTTTACTGGCGGAGGCTGAGGGCAGATATGATTGGCTGAAAGGTGGGGGAGGGGGGCGGGCACGACTCCACTGTTCTGAAAAGTGACATCAATAAAAAGAGCATTCTGTTATTATAAAAATAAATAATCATGATAAATAGTTTTGACATCTGATTAAACTATGTAATAATTTATTGGTTCCATATTTTACTTTCATATGATTATTTATTTCGTCATGCTTATTTATTGAACACTCAACCTAAAAATCCTAATGAGATTAAAAAAGAGTGTCCTGACCAAAATAGACAGCATTAA